AGGGGGAGGGGTAGGGGGGGGTCAGGGGTCCAGAGACTGGTCTGGCTGGTAGGAGGCCTAGGACAGGCAACCAGAGGGGGAGAGGGGGGGGCGGGAAAGAACAAGGCAGAGACTGCTGAAAGGCCAAAGAACGAAGAGGCTTCACTGTGCGCACTCGGCGGATAGGGACCCAAAGCCCTACCAATTCTCAGCCAAACCTTATAAACCCAAAGTAAGCCCCATAAACCCTAATTGCCCTAAGCCCAAAGCCTCACAAATTCTAAGCCCGACACCTCTTCTTGACTTGGACGCCATGCCCCGGGCCGGTCATCGCGGTTGGCCTGGCGGTGCTGGGCCCCGAGGCCTGGTATACGAGTGAAAAGTAATTATAGTAGCAACGATAAGTAATAAGAATACTAGTAATAGTAATCGCGCTAGTTATAGTTTTAGTATTGGTAATAGAAAACAAAAATAGAAATATGATATGAACTTGGAAGAATAATCACTAGTAACTGCAATAATAATGGTACAAGCACCAAGCACCCAATACGTTATTTTCTCGGATTTCTGTCCGTAAAACCCAAGGACCCAATAAGGAACATGACGTTATGTATCATGATTCATTTTATCCCAGTAAGGAACCACAAAAAGACCAAGAATTGGGGGCTGGGTACCTCTACGCGTGTGGATGGGGGCACTTCGGATATGTGCTTAACATGCTCAAGCAATGCCTTTGCAGACCTGGAGTTTGGTGTACTTCAAATTGGTTGTGTTGCTGGGGATGTGAGTCAGAAACTAGAGAATCCCACCATCTCGCCATCAGTGTTACGACAAGGACCACGAGAGATCACAAGAGTTGGATACTGCCCTCGCGGATAAAAATGTCAACTATGATTTTATGTGCCTTAAAGATGCATCGATAGAGAACCCTTTAATCTGATCCCTAATGTAGACTGTTACAGGGGGTAGTACCCAAGGGTAAGCATTTGCCTTGCTGGCTGCTCCGCTGGGCTCTCTCATGAAACCTACTTTTTTGCGCTTGCGTTCTGCATGAACTTAGCTCGTAGGTGCTCGTTTTGTTCCCTTTTACAGGGCGTCTGAGGCCATCGATCAAAGTCAGCCGAGTTTATTAAGTTAGCAGCTAGCTCGTCGTTACAGATTGCGCGCTTCTCCCAAAGCAGTAATTACTTACAGAACCTGAAGGGGATTTCTAGACTGTCTTTACCCCCTTTGTCCCAATATTTTCCTTGTGGTCCCTACATATCCCTATCGTTAGGGAAAGCCCAAGGTGGCTGGACATGATCTTGGCTGAAGTCTCAAACCGGCAATCGCTACACTGCGAATTACGGCCCCAACCATCAATCTTAGTCCCGAGGTCCTGAACCCTAATCCTTTAGGCAAGAACATGCAAGAACCCTGTGAGATCCAATTCCTACACTCCAAGCCCTTAGCCCAAAAGCTATTCACGACTAACACCCCCCCCTTCTACACAGCCCAAATAACCAGAAATTGAATCTATATACATGCCACTTCCGGGTAAGCCGGGGTTCCTGGTGATCCCCACGCTGGAAGGCCTGGCCCTGATCCTATGCCTTGCCTCACCACTGCTCTTTGCGGTGCCCCGTGGGCGCGTGGCGCTTTCCGCGCGAGGAGGCACGAGAAATCTTCCGAGTTTAGGGCTGTAGAAGCTGGGTCGAAGTTGGAGCTGGTTGTGTTGCTTTTGCGTATACTAATATAAAACATAAAAGGAATGGAAGTGTATTGCTCAGTAGCATCCCAACGTGGAACCAGGCAGGAATTACTTGGTACCTGCAAGCGAAGATGAAGAAAGTCGAATCCTGAAGCCGATTCCCTGTCATTGCTGATTTCATCCCACTCGCGGGATTCCTGGTTTGTAGGGGAGCAAGGGATATGGAGTATGAGACCGACTATGAGGGATCGTGCCCCTAAGCCCCTAAACCCTAAACCCTAAACCCTAAGCCACTACAAGGATCCATTCCCCCTTTGCCTTCAGCCAGGTCAGCTCTCTCGGAGCTTTTCCGTGGGGGAGACGGTGAAAGCCTTATGCCCAGAGGACATTTGAGCTGTAGTCTAACCTCTTTCAAGGTAGGAGATTATAAAGGGGACTGTTGTTGGTGTTATTTGGAGGGATACTAGGAGTTTAGACTAAAAGCTCAATTAGCTTTTTGGGTTTCGGGTTGTAGCGATGGTTGCAACTCCTAAACTAGTGGGAACCTGGGAAGCATCCTATACATCCCTTTTAGAAGAAAAACTTGAAGCCTCTCGTTAGTTCTTGTTGGGTGGGCAAAGTGCCAAATCCCTGTCGCAACATGACATTGATGTTTTCACATCGTCCATTCCGCTTTTCCAGGACGCGCGGTGGCAGCCAGGTATCATCGAGACCGTGAGAGACGACGGCATGTACGTAGTGAGGCGCAACACAGCCGTGTGGAGTATTCACCCTCCTCAACTATTGTTAAACCTGGAAAGGGTCCCTGTAACTCAAGATCACAATCTTCATAAAGTGGGCTGTGCGGCGTTCCCTTTTTTTTTGGTGAGGGGGGGAGTAGGGCTTGTGCATACGATGCTACATTACGTAAGCCCTAAACTCGAGACCTTAAACCTTTATAAGTGCCTTGGAGAAAGGGTCCCATTACACAAAAAACTTATAAGTTTACGTGCTTAGCCGTTCCACTTAGCATTCTTTAGCCGTTCTTCCAGATTCCATCCCTGAAATCCGGAACACTCAACCCTGGAGCTTTCGGGGTTGCTGATAAGGAATTTACTTGAAGTTACTATATTGGGGAACCCATATGAATATCTAATATACACATATATATATATATACACACCCATTCTATGGAGTAGTTTCCATTTTCTTTTCCAGAATAATCCCTGAGCAACCCCAATGTAGCCCTTTCCGTGCCTGTCTGGGTGCTGAGCCCCACTGTTGTCATCGCTGCAACTCATCATCCCCACGCCAGGCGCTCTCGTCGATCTTTGCTTGAATACAGCTAGCCCCCACTGCCGTTGCAGCCGAGCCTGCAACTGAAACTCCCAAACATCGAAGCCGAAAGCCCCAGCCTTTGAAAGCTTCAAGCCCGAAGGATCCTAAGTATCTCATGGGAGAACCTACAGTCAAGTAGTAGGGCCTCTGCAGAAGAAGCGGGTAAGATGGTTTGTTTGATCAGGGTCTTCCATAGATTTATGTATTTAGGAACATTTCGGAGCCTTTTGGTTTCTGAAGGTGGGACAATCCAGAACTGGAGCCGCGGCACACGGTGGATCCTGTAGCCATCGTGAAACGGGAGGCAGCCGGAGGGTGGGGATTGGGCCTAGGGCAAAGGGTTGTCCTTCACCTGTACCCTTAAGATATGTGAAAAAGCCTTTTTGTTTGATAATTTTCGGTGTTTGGGCCCTGATTCTACCTATTCCTGGGGATCCAGGGAATGGTCATAGTGATTGTCAGTAATCATTGACAACAAATCCACCATTGTCGGTTGCGCGTCAAAAAGAGAGAGGAAGGCTTCTCTCTGTAATGATCTGACTCTTGAATGCATCGGTCCTGGTCCACGGCGACGTGTCCTAAAGTTCATAGTTGTCTAGATCCCTAAACCCTATGGGATGAAAGATGAATTAAGGATGACTAGCTATGGATCTCAGTCTCAGCAGTCCCTAAACCTAAACCTTAGACCCTTCGACTTCAACCCGGTCACAGAGGTCTTCAAGGACTACAAGGTGGGAGATCAGGTGCTTGCCTACTACTCGGAGGACTGCATGTGGTACCCAGGGATGGTGGACGAAGCACGGGACGATGGATCCTTCCTAGTGAGGCTGGGGATCTGCTTCAGAAGTGGGAGTTTCCACAAATATGGTGGTTTCCCAAAATTAGGGGTATTTTTTGGGGATCCTTATAACATAGTATATTGGTGTCTATATTGGGATGCCCTAATGTTGGGAAACTACCATATCCTCTGACAAGGGAGTTCCAAAAATCGGCAGGGGAACTTTTGTTGGGAGTACCAATGGAGTTGTAGTATATCAGGTTCTATGTACGTCAGCATTCACGGCCCCGCCCCCTCCCCCCCTCATTGGTCAGTGATTGATGTAGAGTATGATTACCCTGATACCCCTCTGGTTTGGTCCTCCGGTCCGTGTTTTGTGGTTCAAATTAGACTTGTAGATGGTGTGCAGAGGGGTCACGGGCTTTATAACCGGATTATCAAAGTTTAATTAGTACCCCCTCGTGGTCCCGTTTCCATGCGGTGTGGGTGTAGAAAAGGATTTATAGAGGTTCTACGGAGAGTTCATGGTTCGTGGAGAAGGCCTCATGCCCAGATGGGAATAGGATCTTTAAGGCATAGGGCGGAGCGCTGATGCACGTATAGGGGCCCCGGCCAGTCTTAACGGAAACCCCGCAGATCCCCAGAACCCCTGCGTGGTATGTCCTTGAAGTGACAGACCCCTAACTGTACGTAATAGAGGGGGAGGGACAAACCCCAAACTCCAGACTCGAAACCTTAAATCTCAACTCTGAAGGCATACTCTAAACTCACCCCTTGAGCCCCTTACGGAGCCTTGGAGGTGGGATGTGCCAGAAGACGGACTGGATGAGATCTGCGTCTATCCCACACACATGAAGCTCCTTGGCTTACCCTGAAAGGGGGTCCCGTGTAGACTACTGTCCTTCTAAAAGGGGCAAAATGATTTTCCGTGTCAGTCTAGTGGTGCCCTAATTCCGCAGATGGCCTCTTCCCTAAAACAGCTTGAGCTCTCCAAGCCTAACCTCTAAGTCCTTAAACCCTAGAACCGAAACCATCAACCCTCAAAGACTTTTCCACCTATTTCTGCAACCCTAAACCCTAAAACCCTAAAACCCTAAAACCAGGTTCCCTCGGCTGCCAGCTGAAAAGCTGGAGCTTGGCAGGAAATACCGAGGAGCCTTGGCCAGAAGGTTGGATGTATCGGGTCTAGGGTTTAGGGTTTGGGGTTTTAGGGTTTAATGTTTAATGTTTCGTAGGGTGAAGGGAGTAGGGCTTCAGGTCTCATGGTTTGGGCCTGGGGCTCATAAGATTTAGGGCCTGGCTTAGGTGTAGGTGTAGGGTTTAGGGATCATTGATCAGGGTTCAGGGTTTGCTGCGAAGCAGCGTGCAAGCAGAAAAGGTGTTTGTAATGCTGAGGGCTAGGCAAGGCTTCGGTTTAAACTCATTGGGCCGCCTTTCAGATTTCAGCATCTTTTCGATTGGAGACTGGCCTCACGTGAGCCATAAGCAAAACTAAAGGGGTTATTCAGGGGGATACTAGGGGACTATGGGTCTAGACTATATAGATCACATAGCCCCATGGTTCCTTTAGGTTCTATACCAGGAACATATTTGCATTGCTTAGGGGCTCCACCACCCCAAACCCTAAACCTTCCTACCTTAAGCGTAAGGGAGTCTGGGGGGAGTCCTAGCTTTGATTTCGCAAACTACCCTAGGCCTTACGCCTTTCCGAAAAACTTACTGCTTCTCAGTAAGGAATAAGAGAATATGTTGTTATTTGGAGATTATATAGGGAATAGATTCTCGGCTTGCCTGGTATTTTGTGCACAGCCTCAGAAGCACTAAGGAACTGTCCAGTCTGTGCAGGAGTACGGGGCCTTCGTGGACATTGGCGCTGATGGTGCTGGGGTACCAGAAACATGCATGGACGGATAGATCGAGTTGGATTCAGTTCGGAAACCCTAAACCCTAAACGAACGCAGATGACCAGCAAGAGCCCAGACCTTCAAGTAGACCTATGTTTGACCGGGAGAGACAGGCACGCCTAGTGACAAGAAGCATTTCCACGATATAATAATCCTCACGCACGCAACACACACATACCCCAAAACCCTATTCTAAACTTTGTCGGCCCCTACACTGCAATCCCTACGATTCCATATTCAAGGCTGCTTTCATTTCATTCCACATTTCCTTTTCCATTGAGTTCCGGAAGGATTCCAACATTTGCACCAATTACGTACAACCCTGCGGTACACTCCACATGCAGGCCCACAGTAGTAACCCCAGATCGGAAACATTGAACATTCAGTAGCTTCTGTTTTCATTTCATATCCACTCCCATCTCTGAGGACCCAAACCCCGGGTTAGCATTCATTTTCCATTTGCTTTTCCATTTTGAGTCTCGTTATTCTCACCCCTGGGTGCTTTTATCCCGTTATGATCCCTACATAGCCTAGTACAATTTTATAATTGACCTATAGCTCCCTATAGACGAAGCCTGAAATAGACCCCACTCGCTACACGGCCCCGGTGTGATCCTGGTAAAAGGAACCTTACAAATCCACACCGCGCCCCTGTATCGTCCCTGTTCCAATTGTTTAAGTCCACCCTAAACCAATCTAAGCCCTGAACTCTGAAAATACTATTCAAATAACCCGTATATAATCCCAGTTTCCATTTAATTTTCCATTTTCTTTTCCATTTGATTCTCCATTATTGGGGTCCCTATAATCCCTATATAAACCTATTGAATGGGGGAGTAGCTTCCATTTCCTTCTCCACTGAATAATCTGGCATTTCGATTTTCTTTTCCTGTCCCAAGCCTTGAACTTCCCTTCAATACAAGTGCTCGCCTGGTTGGTGGGCGCAACCCAAGTTTCAATCTGCTTTGTTACTTTTTATGTGGGTCTCCGGTATTTCAAACCCCAAATCCTTTATCTCTCTATATAGCCCCGGCGTACAGAATCCCCATTCCAATTAATCCCCGCTCTACAACCCCCCACCCCAAATAGAATCATTATATATTGGCATGTTTATTGACTATTGCACCTGGTGGGGGGGGGAGGGCATCTTATTAACCAGGCAGAGGTGATTAGTTAAAGTATGCCCTTCCCTGGAGGCCTGGGCCTGCTACACGTGAGTGCCATGAGCGGTGCGCACGCGCGGGTGGAGAGCGCTGAGGATTTGGTGACTGAGGGAGAAGAACCTTGGGCTTAGGCTCATACAGGGTTATATGGGGATATATAGAGATCCCCAAAGCATGTAGAATGATGACCCTTTCACGGGTTGCTCTATCTACTTTCGGGGTCCAGGGAAGGTTTTTGGAGGGTACCTTCGAGCTAAGGGTTTAGGGGTTGAGAGTTAGGGTTCAGGTGTGTAGATGGTAGGAGTGAGTTAGGGGCTCTATTCGAGGTCAGGCGTTTTGCGCTGGTGTGCAGGTTTGGCAGCTAGGTCGGGCGGTGAAGCATAGCGACGTTCAACATTCCGAGCCTTTCGAAGAATATTGTGGGTACTACAAGCCCATGCAAAGTCCCGAAGTGTAGGCCTTGAAGGAGGGATTAAGCCATCCCCTAAAGGATTCCCCCAGGGTGTAAGGAGCCAATGAGGGCCATATAGACCTCAATAAGGCCGAATTGGATAATTAATATTGCAAATATTGTAACCCCTCATGGAAGTCAAGGCAGGACGCACTAAGGACTTGGACGTGTGGTTCGTTGGCTTCAAGGGCGGTAAGATCGTTCTGTCCCAACGCCCAGGGGGCAACCAGGCTGCACATTGGCATGCTGTTTTTGTCTTTGGGGGCTTGTGACTGTATGCATCTCAAACTCCAGCACTAATCCTACATTCCAAGGTCCAAACTCATGAAACTGCAAAACCCTTGAAAATCCCAAAATAATCCTTAGATAATCCCTATATAATCCTTATTTGAGAACAATAAAAACCAAGGGGGTCGCTAAACAGCTTAGGCAAGGATTCCAGAGGCCTGGCAAAATTCAAGGCACAACCGCCTGACCAGTGGCACACGGGCTCCCTGCCTGGGCTGTTAGTTTAATGTCCCCGTAAAGGGGGATATAGGGTTTAGGGTTCAGGGTTGAAGGTTTAGGGTTTGGGGGCTTGAGCTTGAGGGGTCTTGGGGTTTTCGGGGGTTTGGGCGTTCAGTGGGTTCAGGGGTTAGGGGCTTAAGGTTGAGGGGGTTGGGGCTTAGGCGTTCAGGGCTTCAGGGCGTGGGGGTGTCAGTGGCCCAAATTTCTTGAGGTTTGGGGGTCTTGCAGGTTTAAGGCTCTGGGTTTCTGGGTTAAGGATTTTTGCGTTAAGGCCGCTCAGAACTGAGGGCGTCTTCCGAGCATGAGGCAGTCTGTCATGGTTCAGGTGCAATGAGGAGGGGGATTCTGATCTGGTGCTTCTGGGTTGGAAACTAAGATAAGGAAGGAAATGGAGGAGTCCCGGCCATCAGAGTTTGTGCACTTAGGCTTCTGCAGTTAAAGAATCTTCTGCTCCTTCTAGGTGGAGAATCGCATACACCGGACTGCTGAAACAAAGTCACACTGCACCCTCGGAAAAGGCACGAGGCCTCGACGCGCTATGCATGAAGGTTCGGGGACATCCTTTCCCTTTGCGGAACGTTTGCCCAGAGAACTTGCTTTGCCGAAAAACAGAAGCCCTTGAGCACCTTACAAACGGACCTTGACCCAAATCTAGCAATTAGCAGGCCCTAAATTTGGGACTCAACCTCCTTGTTGCACAAGTAAGGTGTAGTCAAAGCAACGGTTCCCTACGGTGCCTTTGTGACCGTTTCTCTGGATGACGGCAGCAAAGCTGATGGCCTGGTACCAATCAAGGACAAGTTGTTCGGCCATACCATCTGCGTCGCACGCTCTCTGTCAGTCGTCTGTTGCCCGTATAGAGTGCAGGCTTGCTGCACGCAGCCCCAATGTAATTCTAAGCAGGGCTCCCCAATATTCATACTCCCTCTGCAATCACATTTGGAGTTGCCACACTCCCAGTCCTCAGCACCGTTATGGAAGAGAGTAGACTCCCATAGGCCTTCCATACCTCTCCTTGACCTATGAGTTGTGGTGGTCTTATAGGGAGTATAGAAGCTACCCACCCGCAGAGCAATCCTATGCGAGTATTGCGTAACTCGTATTCCCTAAGCGTGAGGTAATATTCAAGGCTGTGCCCCAAATCTCAGGTCCTCAACCCTCAACTCCTCCGGATGCATCCTGTTTACGTGGGAGGTTAAGAAAGTTGTCGGCTCCATTTTGGGGGGTTCCCTCTCAGAGGATCCGTGCAGGGGTATGTGGGCAAATCTAGAGGGCCCTAACCATTGACAGTTACTTATCTGTCCGGAAGGAGATCAGCAAGGATTTCATCCGACGCGTGGAGGATGTGCTTACCCAAGGCGCAAGGCATTTGTGGATTTCTGGTTGGGGGTCAAGGATTCAGGGCACGAGGCCCAGGAATCCTGTTTGGATATTGTGGTTGAGGTAGTCCTGGAGATGCCGCGCGATTGGAAGGCGTTTGGGACGGGAAGACTCCGCTCAAGATTATCGCATAAGAATCCGCTACGGACCTCGCTGCAGCATGGGCCCTTTTTGGCAGTCCTCCTTATGACACGGATCACATCGTTTGCGGCATAGGACCCCAAGCTTGTGCACAAGTCCCTTTGCAAATTGCTGGAAAACCTGCCTTCAAGCCCCCAGTCTATGTGCTCAGGTTTCCTGTTTAGCATCAAATCGAGGGCGGACTCTTTGGGCAGGGCCCCTTTTGGACATAGAGGGGTATCTACCATCAGCGTGAACTGGCAGAAGCCACGAACCGGAAGTGACCTCAGCATCTTTCCTTCCACCACCTGAGCCTATAGACTATACACGGTTTTATTGGGAATGCCTCTACCCAGAACAGTTGCTTCGTACCGCATGCCTCTGTGGGCAGGTGCCAATTGCAACCCCTTCGCATAATATCATAAGTGTTCTGCCTCAAGGCACCATCTTCCTGAGAGGCCAACAGGTTTCCGTGCGGATTACATCCGTCGACGTACCCCACCGGAAGATGGTCCTCTCAATGACGGGTCCAAAGGAGGCCATGCCCTTCAACGTGAGCACGCTGCTAGGCTCACTCGAACCGTGTTGTTTCCGTAAGAGATGAGCGGGAACAGGGAGTTCTACGGATGGTTTACGCTAGTTTACGCATCACGTATATATTATATATACACATGTACTGTCAAAGGACTGCGCAGCATGAACATGAACAGGAAAATCTCGTAAATCCACGGCGGACCCCAGCAAGCGTGGCCAAGGTTTGCGGGGGTGCCGCCGGAGACGTGGATGTCTGGCAGGGTTGCATCTTGCCTAATTACTTGCTAAGCAGCTTATCAAGTGTTCTGTCTGCCGTGCTTTTCAAGGGCTCTAGCTAGGACTACAGCTCTGCAGCTCAACGTGCCAAGCTAGGCTAACTGCCTGGCATCCACCTGATTGGCATTTGATGGAATGGCAAAGCCATACCGTGCCGAGACCACATTCTCCTAAATGGTGTTTGTTCTGGTTTCAGACAATCGCCTTCAAGAGCTTCTGGCTCAGGTACATGCTACAGACATAGGGGCTTTCGTCCGCTTGCAGCACGAGGGCTATTCTGCCGATGGCTTCTTGGCTGGCAGGGCCTTAAGCGTGGATTCGGTCTAGTGGTATTGGGTAGGGCAGGGCTTTATGGGCTTCAAGCTAGAAGTAGCACGGTCTCTTCCTGCGGGGTTGGCTTTATGCCATCCGCTCTCTTTTAGGAATTCGGAGCTTCAAACGGTCAATGCCGTTGTTGCAAAACTGTATTAACGGTTCCTGCGCACAGGAGCAGTCAAGTTCAGGCAGCGTCTCGCACTTGCCTTGAGCTAGTAAGATATGATGACTAGCATTTGAGAGCAGTGGCATGATTGGACGGAGCCATGCCTTCGTGGGAGCACGAAAGCCGACACAAGGTGTTGAACGATTTTAATCTTGCAAGCTTGAAATACGGCCATTTCATCTCATGAACCCCAAACCTGCCAACACTCAACTGCAGACTTCGGCTTATGCCTTGATTCATCAAAGTTTTCATCGCTTCCGTCGCTCCCCAACGAGCAGCTTTGCTTTTATTTAGCTTATCAGATCTCAACAATGCATCCCTGAGCAGCATGTTACATTCGCACCCGTGTGTGTATATTAATAGAATTTCATATATGCATTTGGTAGCCCCTCTCGATTTGCCCAGACCATATTTCCTATGAAGATACTATACCGTAGTTTCGGCATTTTTCCATGGTCGGGTCTCCTTCATTCTCCAGGTTTGCATACCAATATTGCTTTTTGAGTGAGGGCTTCAATGCACGTGTAAACTTAAAATGTACAAAACGACATGTCAAGGTAGATCGAGGGGTTTGCACGCATACTCGTTCATAGCTCCAGACATATGTTTTTTTTCGATAGAAACACACATGTGAGAGAAGCTGGAGCCTTAATGCGCAAGGATTCCTCCATGCGAGTCAGGTTGCTGGAGGCGGTAGCGTGCCGACCTTGGTACTGGGCTCTTAGGGAGCTGGTGGACATCATAGTATTTCTCTTTTGGGATCAAACAGCAAAGCCTCACCCCCTGATGTGAAACATGTGCTTTTTCATAGCAGGTAGCTTCAGGAGGGCAAGTTCACATGGGCTCGTATTCGTATGGCAAAGGCTGCGTCAAAGACAGTGTTTTTGGGCTGGAGTGCTCCACGAGGCTACTGAGATCACGCAATGACAAATCACGGAGGGTTTTACGGCAAGCGGGAAACAGCACCAGGTTCCTTCTTACTGACAACAGCAGCCCAAACCTGTAAACGCAAGCTGCAATTTTCAGGTGGACTGTCTCACAATCATGGGCTTCAGGGGCGCGCCAACATCACAAGGACCCCCCCTTTCGAACGGCTACAAGGGGATCTCGGAAGCCTGCCACTGCTGAAGGTATCTTGTTGGCCTACCAGTACTCGTCGCCATCCCACCTGATGGGTCCCTGTAGAGCCTTCTTGCGGCTGCAAGAGGCTTCTGAAGGCCTTCAACCCTTCCACTCCCAAGCATTGAAGAGAAGTCTCACCCTAAGGGTCCAAGGACCCAAATAATAGGGCTTTAGATGTGTATTATTTGGGTCCTTGGACCCTGAGGGTCAGGTTCTTGACCCCAAAGGCCTTGTTCTCCAGGTGCGCGAAGCCGTCCGCCTCGGCGAGGAGATCAAGGCTGCAGGGAGTTGCGCTGATTTTTGGTTTCTTCTGCGCTTGGGACTTAGAGGGCTCAGAGGGTTTGGGGGGTTGGGGCTCAGGGATTAAACAAGAGGATTGGGTTAGCGTCTGCAGCCCCATCAGAATATCGCCCGCAGAAAGCAGACAAAGCAGACCTGAATCTCCAGGAAAGACTACCAAGCCTCAATGCTTCAGGCAGGTTTTGGTTTGGGGCCGTTGAGGTCAGGTAGGACTGCATGTGAGCCACAACCGTTAATCTCCATCAAAGGAATTAGTCTTCGGGCGGCCATGGTTTATAATTTCACGCA